GCCAGCCCATTCCAATGCCCAACAACCCTTTCTGTGAAGAAATGCCTCCTCCTTTCTAGCCTGAACTTCCCCTGGCAGTTTCAGATGATGCCCTCTTGTCCTGTCGCTAGTTACCGGGGAGAAGAGACCGACTCCCACCTGGCTACACCCTCCGTTCAGGTCGTTGTAGAGAGCGATCAGGTCTCCCCTCAGCCTCCTCTTCTCCAGACCAAACCCCCCCAGCTCCCTCAGCCGCTCCCCATCAGACTTGTGCTCCAGACCCTTCACCACCTTCATTGCCCTTCTCTGGACTCGCTCCAGCACCTCAATGTCCTTCTTGTAGTGAGGGGCCCAAAACTGAACACAGTATTCGAGGTGCGGCCTCACCAGCGCAGAGTACAAAGGGATGATCACTGCCCTGGTCCTGCTGGCCACACTATTTCTGATACAGGCCAGGATGCTGTTGGCCTTCTTGGCCACCTGGGCACACTGCTGGCTCATGTTCAGCCGGCTGTCGACCAACACCCCCAGGTCTTTTTCCGCTTGACCACTTTCTAACTGCTCCTCCTCAGCCTGCAGTGCTGCATGCCATTTTTGTAACATCTTTAGACAAGGATTGCACCTTACTTGCATAAATACTAATTCAGATTCTCGTCTGTTTCCAGTATAGATTTAGAGCCGTAAAACAACAGCTAAAGATTGAAAAGCTTGATCTGCAGTACAAAAGAAAGGTGATTTTCTTACTAGATAAGGTAGCAGAAATTTAAGTCAATACTTGTACTATAAGACATTTTATTAAAAATAAGGAAAAAAATCCACATAGCAGTAACTCCAAGTGAGCAAAATTGGTAAAATTCAAAATCTAATATAAACGTAATAATATAAAAAAAAGATTCTATTCCACCTTTTGGTTAATATGTGCTACAGACTCAGAATTGCTTATGTAAAAATCAGAAGAGAGTATCAAACTTCCCATTTGAGAAATGGGAGGTGGAAAGTAAAATACAAAACCCATATATTAGAAAACCTGACAGCACTGCTGCTGTGAAAAATTCCCTAAAGTCAATAAGAGATGCCAAAACATTAAACTTCTGAAGAAAAGTTTATAGAACTTTCAATACAAATAGACCAAAATGGTTAATGAACAGGAGCACAAGAATAATGAGAATTTAGTCATTCAAACAAACTTCAGTGACTACAAGAAAATAAAAGATGTACACATATGCGTACCCAATAGGCTTACATAAATCCAAGGAGAGGGGAAAAAAGCCTTCCAATTGTTATGAATATGTGCATAGTTGGGATTTTTTGGGGGGCAGAAGGGCGGAATTTTTTGTTTACGTTGTAGGCTTTATAGAATTGTTTAACAGGTACCAGCAAGAGATGCGCCATCCTGGTCTGTGACGAAGGCAGAAAAAAGTGGCGGGAACCCCGCCCCTTCTCGCTGCAGTCCCCAACCAGGTCCGCTCCCAACACATAAAAGCAGCGGCACGGGCAGCGCTAGCTTATAGCTCGGAAGACGCAGGAGCAACAGTATGTCTGGGCGAGGCAAGGGCGGGAAGGGGCTCGGCAAGGGGGGCGCCAAGCGCCACCGCAAGGTGCTGCGCGACAACATCCAGGGCATCACCAAACCGGCCATCCGCCGTCTGGCTCGGCGCGGCGGCGTGGAGGGCATCT